CCATTACTATTTTCTTAAAATAAGCAGTTACTATAGTATACATTGTATAATGTAACTAAATTGTTTATTATAATAATCAGATATTTTCTAAACATATTTATGTATACATATACATTTTAAATATATTTTTTCTTCTGAAATAAAAGCATTTAAAAAACTTTTCCAGTCTTATATCTTTCATAATAATAACAGTTTTCTCTTCAGTCTCACAGTTGTGAAATACAATGATTTTTCTTAATCACTTCACCCACATAGGGTTTGCACATATAATCCTCATGGTTACTTTGTAATATCTCACTTGGATTTTTTCTACTTTCTTTCTCCGTTTATATCTACATAATTCCATCTTAAATAAGAATATCTTCATTATGAAGCTGTATTTTCCTTTATATGTTTCATTATGTTCATATTTGTTGGAAAAATTATTCCAAGATATGAAAATTCAGTTATTATTTGCAAATCCTTCAAAGCCCATAGCACCTTTTTCCTTCTTCCTATCCTTATATGGAGTTCTATTATTTTAGATTTCTTCGTGTTCAGTATTAGTTGTTGTCTCCAAATATTTCTTCCATCTTCGCATCAATCCTGTTGCAATTCTTCTATCAATAATATTAAGCGTCGGCATATGTGTACATTTAGAATTACTCAATCTTTTGTTGTTATTCTTCCAAGTTTGTTATTTTTAAAAATCTATTCTATAGCTGTAGTGAAAAAGCCAGGCTCAGAGGATATCTCTATCTCAAGCCATTTATTATTTAAAACTCTTCTGTTTTACCTTCTTTGATATTTATATTTCTTGTCTCTCCTGATAAATTTGTTTTACCTGCTCTATTGATCCTTTCTTAAACTACATTTGAAAATGTGTTCACATGATTCATTTCTTCTAATGAAGTCAAATGTAGCTTTTAGATCTGTGAAGAATATGTAGACCTTAGACCATAGAACTTCCAAAATCCTGCCTGTGATTTAGGTAAACTTTTCTTCCTTTCTCTTCCTTTATTAGCCTGTTAATTAGTAACAATGTATATATTTTATATGTCATACATAAGATACTGATATTTCTATAGTTCTGCGGATCGTCTTTCCTGTATAGCTTCATAATACCTTTTATCAGTCATTTACGAACCTTTTCTCTGCTCAAACCTTTCAATCTCTTCTTAATATTCTCCTGCTAAATAGTCGCACTTCATTTTGTATTGCATCTCTTTCTATTGGTTTTCTCTTTTTTAGTCTCTTAATTTATATTTCTACTTCTTTGTCCATGATTTCTATTTCTCAACTCTTTGTTCCTGATACCTCTGTTTTCTCCATCCAAGCCATCCAGGAATTTCTTCAAAAGTTCCAATATTTTGGTTTGTATTTATTTTCTTCTTTTTATTTGTCTCTCAACTTTGGTTTTCTAATCTTTCTTCTTTTTCCTTGTTTCTGTCATTCATAGTGGATTTTTTTTAACTTTAGTTACACCTTTAGATACTTTGTTTTAGATATTCCTGCCTTTCTATTTTATCTGCATTCCATTTTTTATAAAATCTCTTCACCTTCTTCTTACCTCTATTGCATTTTCTATCTCAACAGCATTATTT